AAAGGATGCTGTTGTTGCAAAGGGAGTAACTATGCTGACAAAAATGAGATCACCAGTACTGGAAGAGGCTGAGAAGTTATTATTGGTGTGGATAAATGAGAAACAATTAGCAGGAGATACTCTTATGACTTCGATTATTTGTGAAAAGGCTAGGCAGTTGCATGAAGATTTGGCAAAGAAATTGCCTGCAAATAGTGGTGAAGTGAGTGAATTTAAGGCCAGCAAAGGCTGGTTTGAGATTTAAGAACTGTACTGGCATACACAGTGTGGTAAGGCATGGTGAGGCTGCCAGTTCGGACCACAAGGCGGCTGAAAAATATGTGCATGAGTTCCAGGAGTACATAGAGGCTGAAGGACTGAAACCTGAAGAAGTATTCAACTGTGACGAAACAGGCCTCTTTTGGAAGAAAATGCCAAAGAGGACCTTCATTACACAAGAGGAAAAGGGAATGCCAGGACACAAGCCTATGAAAGACAGGCTGACACTAATGTTCTGTGCTAATGCTAGTGGGGATTTCAAAGTGAAGCCGTTACTAGTGTACCATTCTGAAAATCCCAGTGTGTTCAGGAAAAACAATGTTATGAAGAGTAAATTGTGTGTGTTTCAGAAATCTAATAGTAAAGCATGGGTCACGAGGGAAATTTTTGTCGAGTGGTTCAATGAAGTGTTTGGCCCTAGTGTGAAGGAGTATCTCCTGGAAAAGAAATTCGATCTCAAGTGCCTGCTAGTAATGGACAATGCACCTGCTCATCCTCCAAACTTGGATGACCTAATTTTCGAGGAGTTTAGGTTCATCACAGTAAAGTTCTTGCCCCCGAATACCACTCCTCTCCTCCAACCCATGGACCAGCAGGTTATTGCAAACTTTAAAAAACTCTACACAAAAGCAATGTTTCACAGGTGCTTGACTGTGACCACAGACACTCACTTGACCCTAAGGGAATTTTGGAGAGAACACTTCAGTATCCTCCACTGCATAACCCTTATAGGTATGACTTGGGAGGGAGTGACTACCAGGACTTTGAACTCTACCTGGAGGAAATTGTGGACAGATTGTGTCGACAAGAGAGATTTTGAAGGATTTGGGACTGACTCAAATGAGCCTGTCTGTTGTAAAATAAATTGTGGCACTGGCGAGTTCCATGGAGTTGGATGCGAGTTTGGAGGATGTGGAAGAATTGGTGGAAGACCACAATGAAGAGCTCACCACTGAGGAGCTGCAAGAGCTTCAGCAGGAACAGGAACACATCGCAGCTCAGAATCTTGCTGCAGAGGAGGAAGAGAGATGGAAGAAGGTGCCTTCTTCAGAAATTAAAGAGATTTTTACTATGTGGGGTAAGATGGAAAGCTTTATGGAGAAACATCACCCTAACAATGTTGTTGCAAGCCAGGTTGGCAACATGCACAGTGACAAAGTCTTGGGCCATTTTAGGGAAGAGTTAAAGAGACACCAGAAACAGAGCTCTCTCCACAGTTATTTTGTGAGACAGGACTCCAGTGACTCTCAAGGTGGTCCAAGTGGCATTAAGAAACAGAGAAGAGAAGCAACCCTGCAAATGGTACCTGAGGTGTTGATGGAAGGGGATTCCCCTTCCAAACTATAAACAATCCACTCTCTCTCCTCCTCCAGTCTCCCATACACTAAGAAGAATCTTCAATAAAGGTAAGTGTTATGCTGTTAATGTTTCATTCATCATTTCCCATTGTATTGTTCATGTACTACATGCATATTTCATGTTAAAAATTTTTTTGTTTTAATACTTCTGGGTGTCAGGAACGGATTAATTGTATTTACATTATTTCTTATGGGGAAAATTGATTCGTAAATCGTAAATTTTGTTTATAGTAACGGCTCCAGGAACGAATTAATTACAAAAAATGAGGGACCACTGTATATACGTTTTTACCGCTACTGCCCCAAACGTATATTTACGTTTTATTTCTCATTCCTTCAAAATTGGTGAGATAGGCCTGAGTCACCTAGACATGAGAGAATGGATGTGCACACTCAGTGTGCGCAGTATCAAAAAAATCCGGGACGCCTGGGTACCGCATGGTAGGACCAGTTACATTCAGCTCCGTCTTGGGTCAACATTATGGCACATCCTCGTGATTCACTCACACCTCGTCGTATTAGCACTCTATTATTCGAGGAAAGTGATATGGAAGGTCGGTTTAGTGGATTTGATGCAGATGTGGCTACTAATAATCAAGGAAATAGTGAATATATAGACAATAACCCAGATGACCCTCAGCCCATCACCTCTGCAGTGTGGCCACACCAGACCCTAGGCCAAGCACTTCTGGGGTGGCCAGTGTGGCCACACCAGACCCTGGGCCAAGCACCTTTGGAGTGGTGAGTGTTACACATAGGCAACTACGCAAGAGGAAACTATAATTTTCCTGGTGTTTTAGTGATAGCGAAAGTGATATAAGTGACGATGAGATAGATTTTATGCCATTAGAGGATTCGTCTCTTGACAGTGACCATTATTCACCAGTGAAGCGTACTTTTAGGCATCATTACCTATGTTCAGGCAGTGTGCCATTTGCAGTCGGCGGCAAGGGTTGTGGCAGGTCACGATCCAAAACCCCTGCTACTGAGAGTGAAAGTGATCATCAATGTGAATATGCGGGGATGGAGGAAATAGTGGTGGGTGGCACAGTGCTTGGACCACATGGCGCGGTGGGTGGATAGACAAAGGACCACCCAGCACCCCGTCAACCATGTGCTGCCTCCACTCCTGTCCTCCCTCCTGCTTCCCCACACCCCATGCCAGAGGTCCACCCTGCAACATTTGACCGAGAGTGGAACTGGACACAAAGTATATTCGTGCCAGAGTCTTTTGATTTTGATGCGAGTGGAAGTGGCATCCTGCCAGAATGTCCCATAATGAATGAGTCTACAGAATTAGACTTTTTCCAGTTATACTTTGACGAGCCTATAATGAACTTGATAGTGACCCAGACGAACAATTATTACCGTTATATCATGGACAATACACCAGAGGTTGGGGAATCGTCACGGCTGTGCAGATGGAAAGATACAACAGTGGATGAAGTGTATTTATTTCTTGCCACTGTCATGCTTATGCCACATACCTATAAGAACAATATACGTAACTACTGGGCCACAGACTACTTTATCAGTACTCCTGTCTTCCGTGACCTCCTTCCCTGCAACAGATTCATTCTGTTGCTACGAATGTTGCACTTCTCAGACAGGAATAGGCCCAACAGAAATGACCTTCTATACAAAATCGGGAAGTGTTTATCTATATGAAGAAGAAATTCAGTGCCTACTTTTATCCCTTCAAGAATATTGTTGTTGACGAGTCCTTGATTCTGTTCAAGGGACGCTTGTCATTCAAACAACATATACCAAGCAAATGTCATCGCTTTGGTATAAAACTTTTTATGTGTGACTGTGAGTGGTCTTGTGTTGGATGCGATTGTATACACCGGGAAAAACACACTCGACAATACCAGATGCATGTTGGGCATTTCTGGTGATGTTGTTCGAAAAATGATGGAACCATACCTTGGCAAGGGCCATACATTGTACACAGACAACTGGTATACAAGCCCTATGCTCGCTGATTTCCTACGTGTGAACAATACTGATATATGTGGAACAGTGAGAAGGAATAGGAAACATATGCCAAGGTTCAGTGGAGGCAGTATTGAAGGTGCATGGCAAGCATTTCATGCCAATGGCATCATGGCACTGACGTGGCATGACAAACGGGATGTGACATTGCTGTCAACCATCCACAGAAACGAGATGGTACAAACAGACAAAGTGAACAGGGAGACCAATGAACGTATTGTCAAGCCAGCTGCTGTTGTCGACTATACAAACAATATGCAACTCGTTGACAAGTGTGACATGATGATAGGGTTCGTTGACTGTGTGCGTAGGAGTCGCAAGTGGTATATAAAACTGCTTTTTCACCTTGTAGACATTGCAGTGCTCAATGCGTTCAATATGTACGAAATAAAGACTGGAAAACGACAACGTTTTGCAGAATTCTCCCTGAATGTCTTAAAACAGATAGCAAAAAGTATGGTACCACACCTGTACCTGCCCCTCAACAGCAACCTGTCACACCATAACCTGTCCCCCAACCACAACCACAGCCAGTGGGGGAAGTGCCAGACCGAATCATCCCTAACTGTCACTACTTGGTACCAATACCACCTACCCCAAAGAAGAAGCATTCCCAGAAAAAGTGTGTTGTGTGTGCTACCACCACAAAATGACCCCAACAGCGAAAGGACACATGATAGATTTGTCACCAGTGTGGGGTGGCACTCTGTATGAATCCACGCTTCATGGAGTATCATACAATTGTGGAGTTCTAGAAACATAAGTGGGACATGTAAATACTTGTATATAGTTGTAGATAATAATGTGTGATTCAGCCAGGTGTGCAAAATCACCTGTCAGTGTGTACATATGTGTCTGTGACAATATGATAATAATTTTGTATATATTATTAGTGTATAAGCAACAAATGACATTGAAATCGAAAGAATTACTGTAAAACATAAGTATCATATCAAGAAAACCAAGTAAAAAAAAAAAAGGAAAAAAAAAAAAAACAGTAAATATGTAGAGTTTCTGCAAGCGGCAGCGCTCCATGTTGCCGTCAGGTGATCGCCAAGTGCCAACTTCGCGACCTCATATCTCGGTAAGTACCTGACCCTAAATTTTTTTTTATCCTATAACACTTAGAAAAATGTGCTCCTTTTTTCTATAAAAAAAAAATATTTTTTTATTTTTCAAAATATTCGGGGCACTGGGATAGTGAACGTGTATATACGTTTGGACCGCTTACTGGTTAATATGCATAAGTTAAGAGTCTAGTGAAGATCTACATCAGGCACCTCAATTTAAGTGAGAAAAGTTAAATATGATTATATAGTAAGATAAATGAAAGTTTATTCCTGCAGCCAACAAAACATAATGAGACAATGAAGGACATAATAAACTTACATCAGATCCTTTCCTTCTGACTGGACAAAGTGAATCAAATTCATCAAAGAAGATAACACAAGGGGCTACATTGCGTGCACGCTGGAACACTTCTCGTACGGCTCTCTCACTCTCTCCTTGGTACTGAAAATTGCAAAAAGATTTCATTGTGTTAGCATGTTACAGAATATTGTATAAGAAGACAATGGAACACTGTTACATAGCACAGACATCTGTGAAGTAAAACACCCTTTCCCTGGATACAGATAATTCATGTGCTTCAGCTGTCCATTTTCTTACTCAAGGATTTTCCGAAATAGCTTTGATTGTGTTTTACAATGTCGCGTAATTTTTTTTGTGGCTCCAAGATTCCACAGGATTTTAGTAAAAGTTTGGATTTTATTTTAGGAGACTTTTATCAAAACTGAGGTAAAAAAAGCATGGTTTTCATGGTGCCATGAGCAAAAAGTATATCCTCAAAGATACTTCTCATCTCAATGCAACGAATCAGAAGCCTTCTGGGGGGAGTTTGAATGTGGTGTCACTCGGGTGTTGTCGACTGCTATTGGCTGGGAGCTCCAGCAGTCTTCAGTACTGTCTAGTGTTGAAGGAGCACCATGTCCAACCTCACTCTCTAGATATTTCACCAATTTACACCACTCCAGAATGGGAGTAAGTTACTGAATGTGTTTCCAGTGCATTATTGTCTGAACCTCATTTTGAGGCATTGAGAAGTAACAAATGAATGCACTTGAAGTTTTGTTTACCTTTTTTGTATCAAATATGAGTCGTGGCCCGACAGTGATAGAACATCACGTGCCACTGCATGGTAATTATTTGAGGTGAAAACCGACAATGGTGATAAGAAATGTGGCAATGAAGATATCATATATCATCGATTAAGAGATAACAAATAGACCATCCTTGTCATTAATAGCTAACAATTGCATGCTGAATCAAATTCATTGATATATAAGTACAGTGGACCCTCGCATACTGTTGGCATCACATAACGTTAAATCCGCATACCGATACATTTTATCACTAAAATTTTGCCTCGCATACTGCTAAAAAACTCGCTCAATGCTATTCGTCCGAGACGCTTCTAATGTGCGGCCTGAGCCAGCTTCACATGTTCCGCCGGTGGCATTGTTTACAAGCCAGCCTCCGCGGTAACATCCAAGCATACAATCGGAACATTTTGTATTATTACAGCGTTTTTGGTGATTTCATCTGCAAAATAAGTGACCATGGGCCCCAAGAAAGCCTCTAGTGCTAACCCAGTGGTAAAAAGGGTGAGAAATACTATCATACCACAGTCAGCTGCTGCTGCACCACGGTCAGCTGTTGCTTGACTAGTCAGCTGTTGCTGGATCAGTCAGCTGCTGTTGCACCTCGATCAGTTGTTGCTGGACCAGTCAGCTGTTGCTGGATCAGTCAGCTGTTGCTGGATCAGTCAGCTGCTTCTGCACCATGATCAGCTGTTGTTGGACCAGTCAGCTGTTGCTGAATCAGTCAGCTGCTGCTGCACCATGATCAGCTGTTGCTGGACCAGTCAGCTGTTGCTGGATCAGTCAGCTGCTGCTGCACCACGATCAGCTGTTGCTGGACCAGTCAGCTGTTGCTGAATCAGTTAGCTGCTGCTGCATCACGATCAGCTGTTGCTGGATCAGTCAGCTGTTGCTGGATCAGTCAGCTGTTGCTGGACCAGTCAGCTGTTGCTGGACCAGTCAGCTGTTGCTGGACCAGTCAGCTGTTGCTGGATCAGTCAGCTGTTGCTGGATCAGTCAGCTGTTGTGATCAGTCAGCTGTTGCTGATCAGTCAGCTGTTGCTGGACAGTCAGCTGTTGCTGGACCAGTCAGCTGTTGTTGGATCAGTCAGCTGTTGCTGGACCAGTCAGCTGTTGCTGGACCAGTCAGCTGTTGCTGGATCAGTCAGCTGTTGCTGGACCAGTCAGCTGTTGCTGGATCAGTCAGCTGTTGCTGGATCAGTCAGCTGTTGCTGGATCAGTCAGCTGTTGCTGGACCAGTCAGCTGTTGCTGGATCAGTCAGCTGCTTCTGCACCACGGTCCAGCTGCTGTTGCACCATCAGCTGTTTCTGAACATGACTCGTCCCGAACCTGTCCGTCCAGCCTGAGCGCCTGCCTTGCCGTCATTGTTTACAAGCCAGGGTGGCCGGTTGCATGCATACATTCGATACATTTTGTATTATTCCATTATTTATAGTGCTTGTAACTGCTAAATAAGCCACCATGGGCCCAAAGAAAGCTTCTAGTGCCAACCCTGTGGTAAAAAGGGTGATAAATACTATCGTACCACAGTCAGCTGCTGCTGCACCACGGTCAGCTGATAAATTGGACAAGTCAGCTGCTGCTGCACCACAGCTGCACCATGGTCAGCTGTTGCTGCACCACAGCTGTTGTTGTTGCTGGACCACCATCAGCTGCATTACTCGAAGATGTGGAGTGTTGTTGGTGTGGCTTAACGTGAAACAATTAACCCCGGAGGGTTAGCCACCCAGGATAACCCAAGAAAGTCAGTGCATCATCGAGGACTCTAACTTATTTCCATTGGGGTCCTTAATCTTGTCTCCCAGGATGCAACCCACACCAGTCGACTAACACCCAGGTGAACATGGAAAAACGCCTGGAACTAGTGCTCATATTGGTGAATTTAAAGCCAGCAAAGGTTGGTTTGAGAGATTTAAGAATCGTAGTGGCATACACAGTGTGATAAGGCCTGTTCTGGAAGAAATGCCAAACAGGACCTACAGTACTCAGGAGGAAAAGGCACTCCCAGGACACAGTGTCTCATCAGTCATTGCTGCATCTTCAATAAAGGTAAGTGTCATTTATTCTTCATTTAGTAGACTAGTACATGCATAATATATACTGTGCATGTACTACTCTACTATTGTGCATGTATCCTTCTCTTTGTGTGTAGGAAAATGTATATTTCATGTGGTAAAAATTTTTTTCATACTTTTGGGTGTCTTGCACGGATTAATTTGATTTCCATTATTTCTTATGGGGAAAATTCATTCGCATAACGATAATTTCGCATAACAATGAGCTATCTTGAACGGATTAATATCATTATGCGGGGGTCCACTGTACTTATACCTTGTAAATTTATAAAATTTGCTCATTTTGTGTTTTCTGTTCATTTCAGTGAAACACAAACATGTTTTATGGATCAAAGGCTCGAAGAAAAAGGGATTACATCATGCCAGAGTTATATGATGACAGTGACACTAATGAGGAAGTGGATTCTGTGGATGAATTTGAGCCACAACCAGATGCTTCAGATTCAAGTGAAGATGAATATGAAGATTTGTCTGCGAGAAGTCAGCGAGTTACTGGAAAATGAAGAAATATACAAAAACAAGTATTTGAAGATGATGAGGTTGATAAAAGAATTGTCAACAACAAAAGGTGGATGGTGACTGTCCTTCAGTCATAAAGAATTATAATGCCCATAAGGCAGGCAGAGATAAGAATGATATGTCGGTGCATCTCTACAAGTCTCCACTCAAAGCAAAATGCTAGTACATGAGGCTTTTTGGATATGTCCTTGATCTTGTTGTGTCAATGGCTGGTTGTTGTACAGGCATGACTATGGTGCTTTGAAAGAGAAATTCATGAACCTCAAGGAATTCAGGTTTTCTGTCTCCCATTCTGTAAGAAGACCAACCAACTTCACTTGAAGAAATTTTCAGTTGGCCTGGAAAAAGAGCTCATGATGATATAAGATATGATCAAACAGTACCTCACTGGCCAGTTCCTACAAAGAGGCTTTCATGTAAACATTGCAACACCAACACCAAGAAAATCTACTCTTCCTTTCTCGTTCCATATACAAGGTTAAGCTATGTCTAGGTGCAACCAGGAATTGTTTCATGGATTTCCATATTGAACAAGATGCTTAGATACCTCTGATAAAAATGTTTGTCACAATAAATACAGAAAGGATACTCATTTGGTGCCATATCGATATTTTTGTAACATTTGTTCATTTTTTTGCATAATGTCAAGTACTACAAATGTGTTAAAATTATTGAAATCAAGTTGCTGTGCCTTTTGTTTAACCTAGTTGTTTATTAATAAACCTTAAATGTATATAGAGTGGACCCTCAACTAACAGCAGCATTGTCTAATGCCAAAATTGACTAATGCTCTCTTTGGTGTCAAAATATTGGCTCTGCCAACGCCGAAAAACTCATCTAAAGGCTTTCGTCCCGAACATGTCCATGCGCCCTGAGCGGGCCCAGCCACTCCAAGACTCCGTGTATAGCCAGTGTGCCATTGTTTACAAGCCATTGCGGTCGATTCCATGTGTACATGCTATATATTTTGTATTATTCCATTGTTTTTAGTGCTTGTACTGTAACTGCTAAATAAGCCACCACGGGCCCCAGGAAGGCTTCTAGTGCATCCCTGTGGTAAAAAGGGTGAGAAATACTATCGGACCACGGTCAGCTGCTGCTGCACCACTGTCAGCTGCTGCACTACCATCAGCTGCTGCTGCACCACCACTGTCAGCTGCTGCTGTACCATGGTCAGCTGCTGCTGCACTACCGTCAGCTGTTGCTGCACCACTGTTTGCTGCTGTACCACCGTCAGCTGCTGCTGCATCACCGTCAGCTGCTGCTGCACCACCGTCAGCTGCTGCTGCACCAATGTCAGCTGTACTACTTGAAGATGAGGAGAGACTGTAGTTGGTGTGGCTTATCAAGAATACCGAGAAACAATTAACTCCAGAGGTTTAGTCACCCAGGATAACCCAAGAAAGTCAATGCGTCATCGAGGACTGTCTAACTTATTTCCATCGGTGTTCTTAACCCTTTCAGGGTCCAAGGCCCAAATCTGGAGTCACGCACCAGTGTCCAAGGATTTTAAAAAAAAAAATTTGTTATTTTTTCTTATGAAATCGTAGAGAATCTTTTTGTGAAGGTAATAAAACAAAAAGTACGAAATTTGGTGGAAAATTGACGAAATTATGCTCTCGCGAATTTTGATGTGTCAGCGACATTTACGAATCGGCGATTTTGCCGACTTTGACTCCCATTTTAGGCCAATTACATTATTCCAATCAACCAAATTCTTAGCTATTTCACTAGTATTACTTCTATTCTATCGATTGAGCACAAGAAATCGCCAAGTCAACTGTTTCAACTACAAAATAAAGTGATCGGAAATTGTTAATTAATTTGGCCAATTTAACACAAAGTTCAAAATATTCCAATTTCAAAATAGGGTCCAGAATGAACAATGCAGGCATTCCTGGCACTAAACTAACATTTCCTCTGTTCATTAGTTATGTTTTGAGGCTTTACAAATAAATTCCATTTTGATTTTTTATTCACATATTGAATTTTTATTCACACCAAGAAATAGAAGATTTACTGTTATGCAATACTGTAATAATTGTATACATATCATCACCATATTTGTGAATGTATATTAGACCCACCAGCTGACGTGTATTAGACGTGTGAGGTCGTTTGTTTACTCTTGAATATCGGCAAAAATTTAACATTTCTGCTTCTTTGAGCTCAGTTTCAAGCCATTTCCAGTGCTAAAACCAATCAAAATCATCTCTATTTCTGTAATATGTCTTCCATTCTATCAAATGAGACCAAGAAATCGCAAATACAACTATAAAAAACATACGAAAAAACACTGCAAAGTTGCTGTTTTAATCGAAAAATCATGTTTCATTTTTTTTCTCTCATTATACACAGTGTGCTGCAGGATCTGTTTTATGTGGTGCACACATACCACATAGATGTATTCTCTCATATCTAGGCCCAAATGTACCACTCACAGTTTATCAGAGTGAGCTGAGCTCATGGCGTAGTATCTACGGTTTGGACCCTGAACATAAAGCGTAGATCTACGGGACGGACCCTGAAAGGGTTAATCTTGTCCCCCAGGATGCAACCCACACCTGTCGACAAACACCCAGGTGAACAGGAAAAAATGCCTGGAACTAGTGCTCATATTGGTGAATTTAAGGCCAGCAAAGGTTGGTTTGAGAGATTTAAGAATCGTTGTGGCATACACAGTGTGATAAGGCATGGCAAAGCTGAAAAATTCCAACCCCAACAGGTGTTTAATTGTGATGAAACAGGCCTGTTCTGGAAGAAAATGCCACACAGGACCTACATTACTCAGGAGGAAAAGGCACTCCCAGAACACAAGCCTATGAAAGACAGGCTAACTCTCATGTTTTGTTGTAATGCTAGTGGGGATTGCAAAGTGAAGTCTTGACTGGTGTATCACTCTGAAAATCCCAGTGTTCAAGAAAAACAGTGTCTCATCACTCAACAATACTCTTCAATAAAGGTAAGTGTCATTTTAGTATTTATTTATGTATGTATTGAGCATGTCTCATTGTTTTCTGTGTAGGGAAATGTATATTTCATGTAGAAAAATTTCTTTTTTTTAATACTTTTGGCTGTCTGGAACAGATTAATTGGATTTCCATTATTTCTTATGGTGAAAATTAATTCGACTAATGACTAATTTGACTAAAGGCTAGCTCTCTGGAATGGATTAAAGCCATTGGTTGAGGGTCCACTGTATATGCCTTTTATTATTATTTATTAGTAACTGTTATGATTCATTTAGACACTTACCTTTGTCGGGCATTGCATCAAATCCGATGTGTGATCTGTCACCTATAGTTTAACCTTTGTCAGAACTCGCCTCATATTTGATTCCACCAAAAAGGGTATTTTATGGCCCAAAAATAATTAAAATCCAAAAATGCAAAAAAAAAAAAAAATAGTATGGCTTAGAATTTCTTATATTATCACAATATAGGTTGCAAATGTTGCTGTTTCTCAAATGTGATTCCTGGCCCGAAAAAGAAAAACTTTCATCATCATTCACTCCATCACTGTCTTGCCAGAGGCATGCTTACACTACAGTTGTAAAACCGCAACATTAACACCACTCCTTCAGAGTGCAGACACTGTACTTCCCATCTCCAGGACTCAAGTCAAGTCTGCCAGTTTCCCTGAATCCCTTCATAAATGTTACTTTGCTCACACTCCAACAGCACATCAAGTATTAAAAACCATTTGTCTCTATTCACTCTTGTCAAATACGCTCAAGCATGCTTGCTGGAAGTCCAAACCCCTTGCACACAAAACTTCCTTTACCCCCTCCCTCCAACTTTTCCTAGGCTGACCCCTACCCCGCCTCTCCTCCACTTCAGATTTATACACTCTTGAAGTCATTCTATTTTGTTCCATTCTCTCTACATGTCCGAACCACCTCAACAACCCCTTCTCAGCCCTCTAGATAGTAGTTTTGGTAATCCTGCACCTCCTCCTAATTTCCAAACTACAAGTTCTCTGCATTATATTTACACTACACATTGCCCTCAGACATGACATCTCCACTGCCTCCAGCCTTCTCCTTGTTGCAACATTCACCACCCATGCTTCGCACCCATATAAGAGTGTTGGTATAACTATATACCTTTGCATCCATGGATAAAGTTCTTTGTCTCCACCGACTCCTAAATGTACCACTCACCCTTTTCCCCTCATCAATTCTATGATTCACCTCATCCTTCATAGACCCATCTCCTGACACGTCCACTCCTTAGTATCTGAATGCATTCACCTCCTCCATACTCTCTTCCTCCAGTCTAATCTTTTTGTTATCATCATAACCTTACTCTTTCCTATATTCACTTTTCATTTTCTTCTTTTACATACCCTACCAAACTCATCCACCAACCTCTGCAACTTCCCTTCAGAATGTCATACCAAACTGATATTTAAAAAGACAATCTTTTAAATACAAAATGAGACTACCATGCAAATCTGAAAAATTATTACGCGGACTGAAGCGAGTGGTATTCGCAATATGCCTAGTATATCTGAGAGCGACCTTTAGTAATCTTAGCCAAGTCTTTCTGACATTTTATGCAACATATGTCATGCCCATCCTTCAGCACATAGCATCAGCATGGAACCCACACCTGAGGAAGCATGTTAAGAAACTGCATAAAGTGCAGAAGTATGCAACATGGCTTGTTCTTTGAGTTAAGGGGCATGAGCTATGAGGAAAAGGCTAGTGCAACTTAATCTAACAACTTTGGAGGATAGATGAATGAAGGAAGATATGATAACAAAATACTTAGGAAATTGGTAGGGTAAACAGGTACAGGCTGTTTGAGAAACAAACTCCAAGGTTAAATTTAGGCAGATGGGCTACAAGGATGTCATGAAGTATTTCTTTAGTTTCAGGGTGGTCATAAAGTGGAATGATTTGTATAAAGAAGTGGTGGAAGTAGGCTCCACACACAGCTTTAAAAGCAAGTATGATAGGGTCCACAAGGCTAGGAGGGAGCGAATCTGGCAGGGTCAAATCTTAGCCAGGAGCTAAGATTTGACCCCTGCAGGCGAGTACAGTAGACCATTATGTTACACAGTAGTTATGTTCCTGAAAGCACCATGTTAGGTAAATCTGTGTTAGATAAACTGAAGAACTTAAGGGAAAAATAGGGTTAAGTTCCTGGAAGCACCAAAGAAGCCAAACAACTTTTTTTTTAGACCTCCAGATCTTACAAAAATAAAAGTGAATATGTAATTGTAGTTCATTGTTGTGATGTATTATGTTATTTTTACTGCTTAAGACTAAAAATGCAACAAAAATAATAGTATTTCTTACCTTAAATTGTGGGTGCTGGTGTTTGTGGATGATAGTGAAGAGAGTGGAGAGCTATGTTGTGGTCCTACTGGGCTGAGGTGGATGGTAGAGGTTCTGGTACTGAAACTGATAGTTGTACTGGAGCGTGCATAAATTCTGTAGTGGATTTCTGTTCTGTTTTAACCTGCAGTACATTATACAGCTAACGGTAAGGCATCAGCTGCTCTAGACACTGTTTCAGAGCACTGCTTCTAGATTTCTCAGGGTCTTCTTCAGTGAAAAAGTCTAACTAAGTTGGTCAGTCAAATCAGTAAATCAGTCATGTCAGTCAAGTCAGTAAATCAGTCAGTCAAGTCAGTCAGTAAGGCAGTCAGTCAATTAAGTCAGTAAAGTCAGC